GGATGGATCTGACCCCTGATCTCTAAATCTAGGTGAATTTATTCATATGAAATACCCTGGAAAAGTTATTTTTAGATAAGCTTTAAAAACCCCTCTTAAATGAGGAGTTTTCAGGAGAAATAAATCATACTATGAAATTCAAACATTATTTTTCTAAAACTTTTTGAAAGTAAGACTTCTAGATTTCTCATTTCTACATGAGTTCCAGAATAGGTTCGATTTTTAAAAGGAAAAAATGTCTCAAATACTTTGTGTTGGGATTAAGAAAACTTCTTGTTTGGACCAAAGCAATTGCTTTGGTAGTCTAACTCAGCCCCTAAACTGGAGAACGAGTAGAGAGGAGAAAATACCAACAACAGTGAAAGTAGCTCTGTAGAAGAAGCAATGAGAAACTGTGACTGCAGCTCACGAGGAGATGAGCTCTTCCTTGCATTAAGTCCATCAACACCTAGAAGTAGTATCAGAGGTAGAGGTGATCCCAACCATGTAAATCAGTTTGGGAATCTGGAAGGTCCTTAACTTTTAAAGTTCATTCAGTGCAACAGTCGCCTTTTCCCATGCTGACCTCTGTCGTATGCACCCTGTAGGTTTGGAATATGCCTTGTCCCATGCCAATCTGAAGACCGGTATGACTGCTATAAGTGTCACTGGTACGAGGGCAAGATGAGAGGCTACGGAATCTGTGAGTAAGTAAAACCCAAAGTCGGACTCTGGGGAAAATGGGGACTCCACGCGTTTAAACGGTGAAATGTTCCCACCTTGCTGTGGAAGGCTCAGTCACAGTGTAAAACCCAAGGTAATTCAGGTGCCAGAAGCTTTTGCTTTGGAGATGGGTAGTATGGCTTCTTCACAAGCCCTGAGTTCTCCTGTAAGAGCTTCTCTGCAAGCGATGACCATTGTACCTGACATAGCGTTCTCTGTGCCCCGTAGGTGAGGATATAATTTTGCAGTCATGCTTGTGGTTGCAGAGCAGAGAGCGCATGGCGTGCCATCAGCCCCGGACAGACTTGATGGAGCGAACGGCTCTCCATCTCCCCTGGCCATGCTATCTGGACTAAATCTTGTAGAGTAGCTCCTTGGTGATGGATGGGATTGTTGGTCTGGGAGTCAATAACTGTTATCCTGAACTGCTGAAGGGGGCTGGTTCCCCCAGTTGGCGTTTTTCGTTCATTCAAATTCTGAGCTTAAACCCAGAGCTTAACTTAAGAAATTGAGTCCAAGGTTTTCTCTTTTCTCATCAAAATGCTTCTGGAAACAGTCATTTGCACACCTGTGTCTCAAAGCGCTGCTGGGAATTTGGATGGAGCCCAGTCTATAAAGCACTGTATTGTGGGCATGTGGTGGCGTCCCTGCTTTACCCACTGTCTGCCTTCCATTTAGAAGGCCAGAAATGGCAGTGGAGGCCTGCTCAGCAGGTTGTAGGTATAAACTGGTTTTATTTGCATCCTACAGGGTTAAGTGGACAGGGCCAGCTTGCTTGGTTTATGCAGCAGTGAGCACAACAGCATCCTCGTTCTTGCTTAGGTCACACGTGGCTTATAGCCAAATGGGTTGGCCAGTGTGAAGACTGGACTGCCCGTTGTTACTGCACATACTTACCCCTGCTCTCAGCAAGCCAACTGTGGCAGAGGAAAGCATGCTGCCCAGCTTTCCAGCTGCTTGTTATGGGATAGGCTATCTGCCTTCCTACAACCCGCTTGTTGTGCTCCTTATGAATCAAACTCAGAGTACAGGACATGCAGAAGTCTCTAGGGAACTTGGAGCCAACTGAGCAGTGCTGCACTAGTGTCGCTGGTGTCAAATGTGAGAGCACATTGATAATTATAGATGATAACTCTGCTTAGCGTAAGTGCTTTCTTTGTTGTAGCAGTGAAGATCTGGCCAGCATGGACAGAGCTAAGGGGAACTCTTCTCAGGGGGATAAGCCCAGGAGGAGGGGTGGTTGGTGAGAGTAGAAAGGTGAAGGCAGATCTGGATTCCTGCTTGATCTGATCTACTCCCACTCTGGATTAACCAGTGGTCACTGTGACCTGGCTGGTGAGAGGTCAAGGACTGAGTGGCCTCTCCCAGGACAATTGCAAGCCTAAGTGTTGTGTCCTTAGATAACACTGAAAGCTAACTGTGGAGTGACTAGCTTGGGCGATGTGTCTTCCTAATAGTGAATAACTACAGGCTCTAGATCTATCAGTCAAACTTTTGGAATGTTTAGCAGGCAGATGAGCCTAATTTACTCACTTTCCTGGCTTCCTACGCCAGTAGTAACTATCAAATAGTCACAGTCTTAAATTCTGTCTGTCTGTCTCTCCCTGCAGGTATGGGAATGATATGGTCTACAAAGGTTACTTCAAAGACAATGTGCGTCAAGGGTTTGGGATACTGGAGAATCTCTCAGCTGAGCATCCATTTAAATACACAGGACAGTGGGAAAATGACAAGAAGAATGGATATGGAGTCTGGGAAGACAAAGATAGGTAAAGGTGGTACAGATCAGAGCTGGCTTTAGGTGCCCGATGGTGTTGTCCCTCTGTTGGTGGGGTAAAGGTTCATGTTTTGATGGGGGGACTTGGGGATGGAGGGGGGATGTGTTCAACGTCTGCTATAAGGCTTGAACTCCTGGGGAAGCATTATATGAATTGAGTTTTTGCAGTACATCTGGCACTTTTGCTGCATAGAGCATTATATCAGGTAAAACTAGCCTCAGCAAGTGATACATCAAATTGACTAAGATACAACAAAATGGGGAAAAAACATAATTTGTTTTCTGTTGCATTCCAGAGGGGAGAGATACATAGGGACATGGCTTGATGATCACAAACATGGACAAGGCATTGTAGTAACCCAGTCGGGTGTCTGCTATCAAAGAACATTTCATGCTGATAAAATGGTGGTGAGTACCCAGTTTCAGTGGACTCTCTAGGTCAGTGGGACATGGAATTCCCCATCAAGGGCAAGATTAAGATTTCACTTCATAATTAATCTTTGAGGGAAAATAGAAAGCAAGAAAAATTAAGCATTGATATTTTACCACAATAATGTTTTTGAAGAACAAGGCCTAGAGGAAGTCTTGTTTCTTACCTTCCTGAGGTGCAGGTAGGAGCTAGATGTGAGAATGTCACTTCTTGCTCATGCTAAGACACATTGTAGGTCTGGCTGTTCGACTGACTATCAGGTCACAATTATAGACCAGAACTCATATGTGAAGTGCTGTACAGTTATATATGATATATCTATATCTATCTTCAAGATCACTAAGTCTTTACCTTTCTACTGTGAGCTTACCTGTGACAAGTTGGCTGTCCAGTTCATTGAAAGTTTAGATGTTGGTGGGGAAAGCAAAAGTGATTGGCATTGCTAGAACTGGCTTGGAAAAAAAAGCACTTCTTCTCATGAAAAATAAGCACTTAAAAAAACAAACAACCCCTTCCCCACTCACCAAATTAGGACAAAATGTTTAGCATGGAAACTTTGTTGGAAGGGCTTTCCATAAAAACTCCATCTGCAGGGAAGCAAAATAAAGCTGCCTTTTGGCCTGCCAGCTGCTAAAGGCTCCTTTAACTTCACAAGGCTTCCGAGTGGGGAGCAGTCACTTCAGTTTTCCTAGTGGAAAATTGGTGTGGCCAAGAAGCTTCCCTTGGAAACCTTTTATTTTTGCCAGAAAAGACGCTTTCCATCAAGAAAACCATTCCAGCGGAAAATGTGTTGCAGCTCTGAAAGTGACCACATTTTCTGGCTGGTATGGGTACATATAAACCTTCAGGCCCAAACTATGGGCTAAGCCCCAACAAGAAGAATCTTCCCCCATTGGCATGAATTATCCTGTGTCTGTTCTGTATCTTGGTGCTCCTTCTTAAAGGTCTTTTCCAGCTTAAATGATTCTATGATTCTATGAAATGTGTGCTATTGTAAGCAGCCATGGGAGTCAGGAGGTAATGGAATGAGCCATTTTAGGAATGCTTAGGAGCAGCTCATTAAAGCCACATTGATTGCACAGCAAAGGGACAAAGCTAATTCTACATAACAGCTGCCCTCCTTTCTTTTCTTAATCGTCTTGCAAAGAATGACACAATTGGCTGCAATCACAGAATGACACAATTGGCTACAATGACGTAAAGGTCATAGGATTGGGAGGACCACAAGTTTGACCCATATGGCAATTCTTGGTGACTGTTCTTAGAACAGGAGCCTGCCTTTTGTTCCTTCTTCTAGGGAAAGGAATGTAATAGTATTGTTTAAAACCTCCTGACTACCCAGTACTTCACCTCTGTGCAGTGATGCCTAATGGGTTACCTCTAGAGCACCTCCTTCCTTTTCTCTTGAGCATTGCAATGCTATTTTGGGCTTTCAAAAAGGTTTCAGAATCGGCAGCCCATAAATATTCTAAGCCAGTGGCTGTTTCTAGATGAACTTGAGTAGGTGGGAAGTTAATGTCATGAATTCACTAGTTCTGCTTTCAAATGAAGGGTTCTGGGATTCTGCTCTTGGAAGATGACTCTGTCTACGAAGGGAATTTCACAGAAGATCTAATGTTTGTTGGAAAGGTGAGCACTTCCTTCATCTCAGCCTTTCTGTACAGCTGCTTGCTTTCCAGAAGGGCTGATGGATTCATCTTCAAAGTTCATACCCTCCTGCTCCACTTCCCCAAGCCTCCTAGAGAATAACCTTTCCCTGTTGGTGATTTTTTTTTTTGTGTGGTTTTTTTTTTCTCTTCTTTTCTTTCCCCTCCTATTATCAGTCTCCTTCACAGAAAGAAGGCTGCAGCTGAGACACTTCAAGTAGCCGGGGGCTTTGTGCATTGTTTTGGTTTTTACTCTTTTTATTCACATTGAGGATTTGGGTTTTTTTGTTGTTTGTGGGACATTTTTGGCTGTGCTTCGCAGCTGCAGTTGGGATGCTATTGTATTCTTAGAACAAATATTTTAGCCTTTGTAGTGGTTGGGAACACAGGAAACAATGTATAAACCAAATGGAGCTGCAGCACCAGCCCTACGCTAACGTAACCAGGATGCTAACGTAGCTGAGGGATCTTGGAAGCTTAATTTTGCAATCTGGACTCTCTGCTGACACATTCAACATTTTGTGGTTGATCTTTAACAGAAGTATCTGGTCAAAGTATTCATAAAGCACCCTGTTGCAGGGAAAACTAGTCCCCTGGCTTGTTACGGAAATCCATAATGAGTCTGACGGGAAACGTGTGGTTATATCAGACTGAGTGGATGCCAAGATAGGCACTTGGTAACAACTGCAAATGAGCCCTGTCATTTACTGATTTCTCATGGGAGGAAGAGTTTGTCATCATCTTCTTCAGCCAGAAGACTCGGGGTGGATTTTGCAAAGATTGATTATAGTGCTTAGATACTGCTTCCTCCAAAATTAATGTTTAGTGTGAGCGATTAGTCTAGAAAAATCTCTTCTTTATCTAAAGATGGAGTGCCTCCTGCTATTAGCAATGAGGATTTCAAGCTCGTATTCAAAGCCAGACTAGTTACGATATTGTTTGGCTTTGGATTTGATTTAATTAAAACCTGTAAGTTTGAGTCAAGCTACTGCATGTCTTCTGTATTTGCCTCGGAGAGTTTAAAGTTTGTCTTGGTAGCAGCAAACGTTTTGAAAGCATTTATGGTGAATATCATATGATTCCTCCTACCTGTGAGGCCAAACTTGCTTGTGGTTTTAACAAGCAGAAGAAAAACAGAGGAGAAATTGAAGTTTCATGTGTTCACTCTAGGTTAGAAATAACTATTGTCAAATTTAAGCCAGAAAATTTTATAACTCAAAGAAGATATTGGGTATTTATATATAAGCATAATGCAAATGTTTTACTCTGCGATTGTGACAGTCTTTCCCCTCCAGAATCCTATGAGTGTCATTCAATAGCAAGGATGTGTTGTCTCCAGTGACTGCTACCTTCATGGCACTATTGCTTTGGATGCTGAAAATGTGCACCTCCATGCTGGAAGTTGTTCTTAGTCACCGTTTCAGGAGCTGGCTCTGTTGAAAAGAGAATTTGAGATCTCGGTCCAGCTTGTTTCCTCTCTCTAATGAGATCTTGGCAGAATAACCCTTTATTTCTCCATTGCAGGGAAAGCTGTCATTTGCCAATGGCTTCACTTTGGAGGGAACCTTTACTAACAAATCGGGCCAAGGCCTTCAGACGCATGGCATCCTGAACACATCGAACGAGCAGCTGGATGACAGGATAACCAAAGCGTAAGCAACAAGAGCTGACTTCTTGGGTCATGGCTTCTATTTTGACTCTACTTAGAGGAGTATTGGATCAATCCCTACAGGGATCAAGGCAGTCCTTGCTGAAAGAGTTGATCTAAAAACTGGTTTATATGCAAGGAGAGAAGGAGGAAAGGAGAGCACAGTTTGTCATTTAATCTTAATGCCACATAGGAAGCAGAAAACAGATGTTCTACTCCCATCCTGCCACCATCCACCCAGAGGTACTCCCATCCTCCGACTGGAGAGAGTTTTGGAGGCTTAACATTTTCAGTGATTTGTGCACGTGTGTGCGCACACACGAGTTTCTGTGTATGCACACAGACAGGTCTGAAGCTATACAGGCAAAGCTGGGCTACTAAAATGCATCACTTGCTCCTTTTCATTCCCTCTGTGCTACTACATGAATATTACCAGCTGATATTGTAGAGGTAGGAAAGGTACCAAAAATCAAGAAGTGAAGCACAGCACATGAAGCTCTGAAGAGCTTGGATTGGGTAGTGCATTATGTGGAGGAAGGCTGTGGAGCCAAGATCAAAGCTTCACAGAGCACTGATGCTGCTTGGGCAGGCAGTGGTGCGAATGCAGGGCAGGAGTAACTGAGCTGAAGCTATCCAGCCACATCCTTTGATATAGACTCTTATCCTCAGGGCTGATCCCTGCAAAGGGATGCTCTGGTTGCCAGGCTGGAGGACCTGAGTTCAGCCAGTTAACCCAAATGAGGGAGTCCCAGTGGGAAAGACAGCTGCCTGTCCCCGGAGGGGAATTCCTCTTGCAAAACCCAGTTCAATTTCCTCTTCTTTCCTCCTCAAAACATTTCCAGTCCATCAGAGTATCTACATTGCAGAAACAGCTCCTGCTTCCTATGCTTTTCAGACAGCAATAACTACTGGTGGTGGTTGCTCAACTGTCATCTTGCTATCAGTGTTTTCTGCAGGCTTTCAGTTGAAATAAATAGTCTATATTTAGAAACATCCACAAGTGGAGCAGAAAGCCTGTGATCAATTCACCAGCAAAGATTCAGATTATTGATGTTCCATGCATAAGGAATTTTTCTTCACCCAAAGTACCTCGTTGTCAGGACAATAAACTTGAGTTGCTTTTCATTGAATTACCAGTTAGGTGCTGCCATCTTTCTCTGTTCCTGTAGTTCTTGTGTTAAAATCTGATTCTGGAGAACCTTCCATATTTGAAGGTGAAGTCTGAAATAATTGAGGAGGGATGCAGAAAAGCCTAATGCCACGTTATGTTGTGCAGTCAGCTGGGCCTCAAGGAGTTCCCAGTAGAGAAGAGATGGAAGGGAATCTATGACCAGTTCCTGGAGTTCATCCATTCTGGCTGCAAAGAAGAAACGGAGGAGTCTTTCACGGGGTTCCACATACAAACGAGCAAGGAGCTGCGGAAATCTCAGGAGTACCTCTTCTGCCAAAGGTATGAGTATCGCGTGCCCTCATTGCAACAGAGGAGCCCATTTGTGTAGAGAGCATAGTGGTTTACATTAGGGTCTGCCATGCGTTGAAGTTATGAACCCAAACATTATCCAGTTGTTCGTGCTCATGAGATAGAGGGATGAATTTTAAGCCTGAATTTAAGGTTGTGCTGTTGAGACTGAGTCTTATAAGTGAAAACTTGGATGGGATTCATTTGATTAAATGTAAGCATCTGCACATGACCCAGTCATTGCTGGCTCCTCTTCTATTTGAGGGAGACCTAGCTGACATCATCAGCTGATGCAGAGCAAACTCCTCTCCTCTTAAGAAAATATCTAAAATAGATAAGACGAGCATGTGCAGGATGCAACCCAGGCTGGTTGTAAGGGGGACCGAAGGTGATGAATTTAGGTAATCGCAGGTGTTGTAAGTCAGTGGGGCAATTCCAGTGAAAAGGGTAGAGAAAAATTCATTTGTTCTAATAGTCTTATTGCCCTCTTGGTATCCACCTGCGATACCACTTGGGATTTATCCCAGTGCTTCACTGTGTGGTCTTCCTTCCTCACCTCTCATTCTTCAGGGGGACTGAGGATGTATCCTGGAAGATAGAAGATATTCTTGAGGAGCTTGTCCAGCACCAGGGGCTGGAGTCACAACAGAGTTATTTAGAGAAGGTAAAGTTTAAAACCATAATGATCCACCTCTGTCCACCAGGCACGGACACAGGTTGTAGCAACTTTCTGTTGCTTTCTGTTAGCACATATATAACATTGCCATTGACTTCAAGAGTCTTCTCTAAATGATGTTTGAATACCTATGCTTGTAAAGGAGAGGGTTATCCTTCATGCTTTTTGGGCACTCATTTTGTGTGCAGCTATACAGTCCAGAAAGTGATGATAAAGCTTCACTCTCAGTTCTCAAACTGTGTCAGGGAATAACCAACTGCTGGAAATGATTAATAAACCTCCATGCACTCTTGGTGGTTGTTTTTTGTTCAGCCAGCCTTTCCCTGAAGCACCCTTTGCTCTCTCTTGAATATCACAGCAAATCTCATCAGGACAGCAGGTTCTACTAAGCATATTTCTGCCTGATAATTGGAGAAGAATGGGCTTGTGGCAGCAAAAATAGACCAAAATTATAGTTGATTACCTCCAGGCTTGTTCTCCTTTGCTGACAAGAGAAGGTTGGGTGGCCTTTCAGTGTTATTCTCTACTAACGGCAAGGGCTGACTTGTAAAATTTAATTTTCCTCTATCATGCAGGCATTGAAGTCTTCCCTGCACCCACTGGGAAAGCTGCTGAAGGCCTTGATGATAGCTTTTCAGGCAACGTATTCTGGGATTGGGGCCAACAGACACTTGCTGACTATGGCACAAGAGGAAGTCAAGTACTATGCAAAGAAAATATGGGAGTTTTACCAGTAAGTCAAGCATGCTGAGTCCTTCCAATGGGTATGAGCATAGAGGGATTGTGGAGTAAACCATTGGGGTCATTTTTTCAGGTGGCAGAGCTGCTTTATTTCACAGCATATTTCTTGGGAGAGTTGCTTCAGAATGGTGCCAGGTAAAGAGTTATTTGCAATAACTAAGGTCATATGGACCAAGGAAACCTTTATTATGCGCATTGCTCAGTACATGAGCCAGGGCCTTTCATGTGACTAAATCTTACTGAGTGCTGGCAGCTCAATGAGCTGTTGCCCATAATAAGACTTCATTTAGACAAGCACAAATATGAGCAAGAAACCTCACTAAGTAACAAGAACAGCAAAGTATATCAGAGCACACAACAGTGGTGTTCGATATCTATGTTTGAATGAAAAATAGCTTAAGCTTAACCTGCCTCAACTCAGCAGGAGTTAAGAACATGCAGTGTAAGCACGTTGTTGAGGGTTGCTGATGTGGGTAGTGACTCTAAAGTGAGGTGGTTCAGTTGCGTGGTTGTGCCCATGGGTAATTAAGGACTGGATCAAAGGCATGACTGGGGTCCTGTTGCTGTTTGAATATGTTTTAGGAGAAGATGCAAGAAATGCCACAGTAGGCAGAAGTGAGGAACTCTGCCTCTAGCTGCACTCAGGGTGGTAATGCCTTAAAAGTAAGAGGCTGGATAAAAGAGCTGTTGTTATCAGTGTAGCCTTGTGTGCTTGAGGAAGGCTGCCAGCTCTGTGATGAGGGGTTGTCTGTCCCGGAGCAGTCATCAGCAGTACAGCTGGTGGGAACAAGTCAGATTTGATTCAGTTCATCTGAGCTGTGTTCATAAACAGTACAACAGGGCTGACAACCTGAGCATTGGTTCACGTGAAGGTGCTTCGGAGTTCAGTGCATATCTTGGAAAGCTTGCCTCATGTCTCAAGACCTTTCCAATGCAGTGGGAGGAGGGAAACCCACCTTTCTCTGCTGTGCCCTGGCTAAGTTTCCTAGGCTGATACTTCTACAGCAAAAAAAAAAAGGCAATCTCTCCCTAATCCCCATTAGGGCTGACAACCTGAGCATTGGTTCACGTGAAGGTGCTTCGGAGTTCAGTGCATATCTTGGAAAGCTTGCCTCATGTCTCAAGACCTTTCCAATGCAGTGGGAGGAGGGAAACCCACCTTTCTCTGCTGTGCCCTGGCTAAGTTTCCTAGGCTGATACTTCTACAGCAAAAAAAAAAGGCAATCTCTCCCTAATCCCCATTTTAAGATTATGAAGTTTTGGCTTGGAAACATCAAGACAAACCCAAGCTACTTTTTCAGAGTATGAACATCTTCTTATGTTCATAGATGGATTAGAGAATTGGTTGGCGTGACAGGTCCTGAAACCTCATAACCCTTGAGTGGGAAGCTCAATGCAGACCACAGTTAGGATCTCCAGAGTGACCACCCTACTCTTCAGAAGCTATGGAGATTTTTGAAACACTTATTCATTCCTGGCGGCTTCTGCTGGTAATGGAGAAAGCCCTCAAATAGTGACACTTGAATACCGAAACAACACTGCAAGGATTACAGAGAGCTTTACTAATATCCTACTTGACTCTGGGACAGCTGAGCTCCTCAGTTGTGAATAACAAGTTACCCTTAAAAAAAGGAAGGAGGGAACTAAACCTTGGTTCTGCTCCTCTTCTAGGGGTTTGCTCCATCTGGCACTGGAACAGAAAGGCCAACTGCCTGCGAAGGGTGTGGATGGAGATACAAGGTATGTGTCACCACTGGTTGTTTAATTTTAAGCTGCTTGGACGTACGAGGTGTCTTCTAAAATATGTTAAGTGCTGAACTGATTGTATTTGTCCATTTGAGTCAGGTTTAGTGCCCACACTTCTTTCTGAGTGCAAAGCTTTCAGTAGTTCTGCTTGAAGCATGAAAGCAACTTCTTCTAAGCACATTCTGTAGCAGCATGGAGTGGTGAGTTGGAGGTGTGTGTGGTACACAGCCTTGCAAGATTACCCACACCAGCTACTATGCAGTAGCATGGTTGAGTGCGAGATAGAGGTCCCAGCACTACCATGTGCTTTGCATGAGTCGCAGGAACTTGTTCATTGTGGGGATGGTGCCTTCCATACCAGCACTGAGGGAAAGGCAGGCCTGGAAATAGGGAGTGCAGTGTGGGAAATGTGGCAGAGGAGGTAGAAGACATGGTGTTCCTAGAATAAGAAGGTAGGAATAATTGTGGGAGACCCAGGCTTAGGGTTTTTGGGGGTGGGAAGAAGTATCTTTGTTCAGCTGTCCCCATTTGGTCTGGATTTCTCTATGCTGTAATCTGCAGCCATCCCCACGTGGGCTGAATGAAGCCAAGAGGTTGGTGCAGCTGGAAAAGGGCTTTATCTGACTTTATTTGGTCTTTGTCCCTTAAGAAATAACAAGTGCTCTACTGAAACAGCTTAGAACAACTGAGATAGGTCTCTGGTGCTCCAGGTTTTTCCCAGTGACTAAAGAGATCTTGTGGAGAAACAGTACCCTGTCTTACAGCATAAGATGCACTTGCATCTTCAGCTTGTGGGCACACGCATGAGTGTGTTATATGGGTCACTACTGTCGAACTGTGACATTGAAAGGTGGAGGAAGGAGAGGAGAACACCTTGCAGTCTCAGAAGCTACCTTTGCCATTGTGTGCTGTGTGGCTCTCGGTAATATCACAGTTACAGGTCTCAATGTAGGACTCTGCTTTGCTTTTCTCTGCCGTAGTGACCAGAAGGCATGCAGTGTGGTCCTGCCGCTGATCTTGCCTTGCTTCTACCCTGAGCTTTTCATGCTCTACATGCTCTATCATGAAAGAGAGGATGAACTCTACTGCCAAGGGATCATGGACCTAAGTCTATTTCCTGACATCAAGCTGCTTGAGTTTCTGGATGTGCAGAAGTAAGTGACATTTTTTTCATCTCAGGATGCAACCCCATGATACCAGCTGGGAAGGTAGCAGCCAGGGAAAGCTCTGATGGCACAGGAGGAAGGGACATATAACCTGTTCCTGGGTCCATCATTGGTTGTAGCACTGAAGTTTTTCCTAGGCTGCCAGAAGAAGTCGTGTCGTGGAGTGCCTGCAATACTGTCTGGCAGGACAACATTGACTAGTGGAAAGCTGCTCTTATCTCTACTAATTTTCATTTTTATGTAGCAAAAATCTTGTTTTCTAGCTCACCAAACAAATGGTTCGCTCCAACTCAGGACCAATCAGACAGAGTTTAAAAATGTGTCTTAGAAATGGCTATAGTCCATCCAATGGTATCTGCTGTAACAATGTAGGCACACAGTCTCAAGACAGGGGAAAGGCTGTGGAGCCAGGTGTTTCCTTCATCCATTCCTGCAGCTAGATCCATCTCTGGAAGTGATATGTGAGGACCAACGACTCAGACTCAAGAGGCATGTCAGCTTTTTTAATGCAGCATCATCTGCAGCTCAAGGACTTAAGCAGGGTAGAGACCCAGAGTCTCAGTTTGGCAATTTGATTCAGTCTAGGCTCAGTGACAGGAATTGAATCTGGAAGTGCAAAACTCTCCATTGATTATTACAGGAGCATCTGTGAGTAAAATGAGGCCTACACTCAGGTTAATGAGTCTAAGCTATTATTCCTTCCTGTAGCAGTGTAACAAGAGGAGCAAACTCAGCCTCGTGCACCTCCCAAGACTTTAGCATCGCCTTGAATGAGGAGATAAAAACAGTCAAAACTGACTTAGGGTGGAGTTAAGAGACGGACATCTGCCTTCTAAAGCTTCTCTCTGTAATCTCCTTTCAGACACCTCTGGCCTCTGAAAGATTTGACCCTGACAACTAACCAGGTAAGAAATAACGCTAAGAGCTAGCTTTGGTGTGTTAGTGAGATGGCATTGGGGCTACATGTTGGTGCTGGCTAATGATAGAGCTTCACCTACGTAACCACAGGGCAGACTGTACTCAGAAATCAGAGCTACATGACATGTATTGATTAGTTATGATCTGTAGCTCCTGCATATGAATTTCCATGGATGGGAATATGAGGAATATGAGCTCTGCATAGGGTTGCTTTGTAATGCTCTGCTCGGTGGCATTTCAAAGACATCTGTGTTCAGAGTGGGACTGTAGACATCTAAGCGTGTTCAGAGTGGGACTGTCTACAACAGCTTTATTTTTCCCTCCTTTATGGGCAGTAAACATGCTTATTTTGGGTCCAGCGCTGAGGAGCCATGTGGTGGCTCTCGGAGAGATGCTCTTACAGAGGCGCAACTCTTTGTCTCCCTTTCAGAGGCGGTCCCTTATCAAAGACAAGTGTTTCCTGTCTGCCACAGAGTGTTTGCAGAAGCTGATGTAAGTCACCATCCATAACCTCTGACTGACAACAAGAGCTGATGGGGATTTTCTGTATTCTGGGAAATGCTGTAAATTTATGCCTGTTTACAGAAGCATATCTGGGTCAGTCTGCAAGATAATTTAAAGAAAAGTTGTTTGTGATATTATTTCAGATGAAAAGAAAAAGGAACTTCTACAAAACTATTTTTTCCCCCCAAAATGTCAAGACGATATCTAGTGTGTTTAAATGCAACCCTCCCCTGGCAAATCTCTCCCCTTAATTTTGCGGAGACATTCCTACACAAAATCTGACTTTGATGAAATGGAGTTCACTCATGTGCACGGCAAATTGGCCCTGGCTGTGACTGCCTGGTCATGATAGTCCCCATTGCTCTGGACACACGGAGCGACATGAGGATTATCCATCCAGTATGGCATGCCAAGATGTTAATGTAGCAAAGCAGAGCTCAATTTAAGAAGCTCATCTTGATTTGTTGGCTTGAAGTCCACCCTAGGGGATGGTGCTGAAGTAATGAGTGGGAAAGAAGATAAAGGGGAGCAGGAAAGTGTTGTGGGATCCATCAGACAGGAGCTCTCAAGTTCGTAAGTACACTAGGCCTGGTGAGAGCTTCCTTATGAAAGCCAACGTGACTTCTCTTCTGGGGAAGGCAGCACAGGCTGCGTGTACCTTGGCGGGGCATTATGGGCAGAAAAAAAACAATCTTATAGATGTGACAACTGTTATTAGTCCCTCGCAGGAGCAATATCTTGATAGAACTACCCAAAGTGATTAATCTCATACTCTAGCTTTTATTTGAGGGACTGTGATTCAGGTTAGTCCTGTTGAAAATGAAAGACTGACACGAGGGTGAGCAGGTCATCATACTCAGGACTCGGGAAGACTCAAGGTCCATCTAGATGATGTTACACCCTAGTGGTGCCTCCTGGCATAACCTTGTTGACCCCTTTTTGGTGCAGCCATTTGAGATGACTGACAGACTTTTTTTGTAGCATGACGGTCTGCTCTGAGGGTTTTGGTTTTTTTTAGTTCTGCTGCTTTATCTCTAGCTGTGTAGTGGAAGCATCTTTGACATTGCTGTTCTCACACTGACAGCACCACGGTGGATCCCTGGGAAAAGCTGGTGATCCTCCAGAAGACATATGAGGAGATAGAGAGCACAGTGTCCCGGGTGGTGGAGAAGGACTACAGGCTCCCCATGGATGACCTGTTGCCGCTACTGATGTATGTTGTATCCCGAGCAAAGTAAGTGGAAGCTTTTAATTTCCCAGTCCCGTTGTTGTGGGATACCTCAATCAGAGAAAGAACAGCCACGTTTCCAGGCCAAATAGTTTAAATGAAAAGCTGGGGTTTGTGTTTCAACGTGCTTTTTCCTCAGCTGTATTGGGGTTTCTGTGTGCTGCTGTTTGTGATGTGGTGTGATGGTGTTGGCCGTGATGTAAAGTGGCGAGGGACTTCCTGAGTGTCCATCTCTTACCCAAGAGGATAGTTCAGGGTTGTCATGGGAAATGCAGTCTTACCTGCATCTCAGATTACTGCAGAAAATAGGAACATGAAGCCTTTGAAGGCCAATTGTTGATGCCTTCAAGGCATTGTCTATATTTATCATACATCTTCCATTTTCCATTCTCAATGGGGCACTGTGATTCAGTTCAGAGCCTAGGAAGTTCTTGAATACTGACCATCTCGTAATTAGACTTTTCCTGTGTAGGAATGACTGTAAATGTAAAACAGTTCTGCCAAAGAGGCTCTGTGTGTGCTGCTTTCAGTGGAACTGCAGGAACCTGCTTACATCTAGTAGAATGAAACTATACTTTTTTTTCCTGGCAAATTTGAGTCAAAATCCTTGACTGACTGCCTGGATATGCTTGGTCTCCAAAAAAGAGTGAAATGTTTAAACCTGGGGCCATGAAATCCAGAAGCTTGCTTTTTTTTTTTTTTTTTTTCCCCTGCAGTCATGTTGGATGATACAGGTTTGTTTGCTAGGCAGCTTTCTTGACTGTAGATGAGAGAGGAGGGGAATAAGAGAGACTGTGAAAAATGGGGGAGTTGAAAGTTTCTTGTAATTGAGCATTTTTGCTGAGATCCAGTCATGCCAGATACCTCAAGGACTCAGTCTCCAGTAGATCAAGGTGATGTACAAGGAATCAGCAATGGACTTCCAGAGCCGTGCCTCCCTCTCTCCATAATCTGATTTCAAACATATGCCCACAATCACCAGTGCCTAGAGATTTCTTCTGGTTGTGACATTTTTTTGTTTTTCCTAGAATACAGCACCTGGGAGCTGAAATCCATCTGATCAGAGACTTGATGGACCCCGCCAATAAAGGAGGACTGTACGACTTTCTGTTAACAGCACTGGAGGTAAGGAAAGGTTTTTAACAGTGACAGTCGCGACCCGCATTAGCCTTTCTTGAGTAGCGGAGCCACTGATGCATTATACTCTCACTTAATTTTAGAGGGCTGTTTTTATGCCTAGCACGGGTTATTTTCCTTCTAGTCTAGAGAATGTGTTTAGCTTTAATTTATAATGTGCAGATTTAATCTTTTTAAAGCCTGTGGGGCAGCATGGCTTCACTTTGTGTGCGAGAGAACAGATTTTGGCCCAAAGTTCCAAAACGTCTCCTTAATGGCTTGCTCTGTTCCTTGCCCAGTCATGCTACGAACACATCCAGAGGATGAGGCTGCACCAAAGAGAGAACTACCACGTGCCTCACAGCTCCTGAGCCCAAGGACCCGAAGGGAGCCTCCTCCCTGCTGCACTTTCTCGACCAAACACTGTTGGATGAAGAAGCAATCAAGCTGCCCTGGCTGCCTTTAAAAGAAGATGAACCGTTATTTATCAGATGAGGGTTTCTTGCTGGGTTTCTCTTGGACTCGCTGTGATGGTAAAGCACAGACATGGATGCTGTGGGCTAAAAGCCTTCAATAAGCAACCTCAGCTTGTGTTTGGGAATCTCTTTGCGGAAAGTGGCCAAGGTTTCTTTTGCCCTGTAGTTTTATTTCACTTTCCTGCAAATAGCAATTTGCCTCGAAACCTCGTTTAACTGTTCTCTCAGATGCTGTGTTCATTTTGCACTGGTGAACTGACACAAGGGAGGTTATTTTATAGCAAGCAGTTAGGTGAAACCACAAGAACTGTTTTGGTGGGACTGTTTCTGGTTGGCAGAAATGTGGCATGGACAGGAGAGGCCATCTCCGTGCTCCTGAACAACCTGTTCCTGGAGTGAGGCGGCTTTTCCGGGATCCCGAAGAGGAAGGTTTTTCCATTCCTCTTCCTACCTATGCCAAACTCAGTACCTCTCCATTGCATTGTAAAGCTGCTATTCACTAACTTCTTTGTTTTATGATACTTAAAAGTGTATATTTTTACTCTGCAGACTGCTGTTAAATCTCAGGGATATCACACTTGCACCTTGAACATGCTAGTGCTGCTTTTTAGTTCTGCAGGGGTTCATGTGTGCCTAATAGAAAGGACATACGTTGTCCTGGGGTGAGAAACCTCAAAACCTGGTGAGACAAAACCTAAACCCACCTGGCCTTCTGCACTGACAGAGCTGCAAAAACACTGGTTTTCCTAGGTGCACAGATTCGTGCTGACAGATCACCCACGGACGCCAGTGGGGGTGCAAATCAGATTAGAACTGGGCTGGGTTTTATGCTGCCTTTATAAAAGGCAAATGGATATTTGGTATCCTGTTCCTATCAGACAAAAATAGTCATGTCTGAGTTGCATAGTTAGAGCAAAAGCTCTTTTGAACTAGATTTTAACCTCCCTTTTTTTTATTTACAGTTTGACTTTAAATTGTCCAGGTCTGTGACTTCAGGAAAACAAAACAAAAATCTACAGGCTGTTTCCTCCTGTTTATCACAAGTGTTATGCTTTAATAAATAGTACACTGATTACAATAGTTAATATATTGGTATGAGAGTATCATAACGTATGTTTTACAGTAACTTTGTATTTAAATAAAGCTGTTGAATTTTTAAGAGCGATTCCAGGCTTGCATTTCTTATTCCAATCTTCAGGCATTTGAGAATTTGCTTTCCTCTCTTTAACCTCAGAAAAGATGTGGCTCCCTTACTGCCTTGACCATTCATAGGAATGGAGAATTTGAACTACAAATTAGTTTCCCAATGTAATTGTAAGAGAGACTGAATCAATAAAACTAATTTCTGTGCTTCTGTCCCCTGCCAAATCACCAAGGAGAACATGGCTTAAACTTCAAGATCATTTCCTGCAATTAAACTACTATTTTTTACCCCAGCGTCTCGCACTGATCACACCAAGCCTTAGCCGGCCTTATGAAGGATGGCTGTTACGCATCTTCAGAGCTGAAGAAGCTATGGTGCAGAGCCAGCTCAGGTGAAGAGAGTAGTTGAGACCCACCTTCCTTTACCTGAACCCCTCTTTAGCCACCTCACCATGCTGGCCTACCTTCTTCCTTACCAGTTTCCACAGGGAAGAGGAACTAACTGCAGAAATGATGCCTCTTCCCTGCAAACTGCTGCCTGAATTTTTGCATCACAGCAAACTGCTGCCATCCATCCAAATGAGGACGATGTCTGCTGGACAGTGTCTAAACTGGTCCTGGGTATGTTGAGATCCTGGGTTCTCGGTGTAAAAGCTAACTTGTATTTTTGCTGTTTTCACACAGCAAAGCCAAGAAGTTCCAGCTTCATGGGACATGAAATGAAAAGTACTGTTCATCTAAGCAAACCCTTTATAAAATTGCAGTGTCTCAAGTGGTCGGTGCCAATACCAGTTACACAGCATGCAGTGAGACTGGGGAATACAAGACCAAAAACGCGGTTTCCTACCGATACACTGATTGTCAGCTTTAAACCGTTGTTCCTCACCTCTACGAAATCTCACCTTATTCATCTAAGGAAGAAAGCTCCAGCTGCCTGTCTTTGAGAATGTAAACAGCCATAAGTAACAGCTGTGAAATTTTAATTTCAGAGTTGCTTAAAACTGGCAGTTTTCCAGTCCAAAGAAACACCCTGCCAGAAGGTTGAATCACTGAGATGTAGTCACAGCTGTTTAAAAAAAAAAAAAAAAGTCTGTTTTTTCCACACTGCCATTCTTCCATGCTCTGGCTATTGATTTTAATTTCAGGTACCACTTCCTACTCAAAATGCAGAACTTCTACTAGAAAATAGGACATGCAAAATGCATGCGTGTACAAACTCCACAGGATTATCTAGAAAATACTGTGATTTTTCAGCCTACTGAAGATTTTTACTATTGCACTTTCTAAACCTATGGTTATTAGTTGCTCTTACTGGTCATCTGGTTGAAAAGTGAGGAAGTTCTTGAGCAATTATTCAAGTGAGCCCTAAAGGGGCAACTAAGGTAACAGTGTGCAGCCATTTGTGCTTCTAGGCTTTCTCGGCAACCAGTACAAGCAAGAGAAACGCTTCACTGGAAATACTCTTTTAGCCCAAGGGTAGCATTCAGGTTGCAAATTGTGCTCTGTAACCATGCAGGAGTGCTATTTGGTGAGTTAACAGCATGGCTTTTTTAGGAGATAATATCAGGCTACTTGCTAGCTTCCCTGATTAATCAAATCTCTGCTTGATAAAATACTGTGCCTTGAAATAGTGTGTAGAAATGTGAGAGTACATTCAGGTTCCTCCTTTTGAGCTCGGGTGGATCACATAGCTTAAATTATTAGTGGCAGATTTGCTATCAGGACTCCAGCTTCCTGACATGTTAAATTTAATCCTGCAGACTGTGAAGCAGTATGAAGGATGACTCTACCCGAGACTTTCAGCTTTAGAGAGATGCCACTGTACAGGAAAACAGCAGAGTCAGCTCTTCCACATCCAGGCTACAGCTGTTGAGCCAGCTCAGGCTTCAAGGGAAGCTAACTAACTAGGGTCCTCCACTATTTTTAGAAAAAAAAGAAAAAGAAAGGCTGAGCTGCACCTGGAAGCAGGACAGGTCTTAAAGCAATTTAGGTGTGACCAGACAAAGCAGAGCTTAACTGCTGGAGCCTGCAGTGCAGGTTTGCTGTCTGTACACAGTGCTCTCTGAAGCAGAGGGAATACGGTGCAGACCACCGCAATCTCGGTGTTTAGCCCTGACAGCTTGATCCACAGAGAATTTCTGTTCCCCATCCCTGAATGCATACTCACCAGCAGGGCTCATACTATACTACTACTATGATCTGGGTTTTTCCTTTATCTGAGATTTTTTTTCCTGTCCAATTACTATAGATACTCAAATGCTGTCAACTTAAAAAGTATTCAGGCTCCTCATGAATGTACTCTCTCCCCACTCTGTATTAAGGCTCTTTGTACTTGAACTGTAACAGCTATTAAACAGGGAGGAGCCAGTTTTCTACAAACACTCATTTTGCAAAAGGTTCATTTTACAAAGAACTGAATAAATAGGAAGTTAGAGTAGTGCTGTATCTATTGCTGCTTTCAAGTGGTGGAGCAATGCCTCCGGGGGTGGAGAAAGTGACGTCAGGTCTAGTTTCTTGAAATCTTCATTAGCACTCAATGATGTTAACACCTTCACAGTCCTCTTTAAATCAAACACTGCATGGAGCATGCCCAAGGTGGAAATGGCAGCTTTTGGAGTGTTCTTTGCCGAAGCTTCGTCATCGAGGCCGTTTTCCAAGACAGAAATCCTGTTCTCTGCAATAACTTTGAGGAAGTTGTAGAACTCCTTGTAGTCTATACCCGTGCAAGACTTCATGATCAACTAGGGGAAGAAAACAATAGTGAAATGGAAACGACTCTCTTATTTACAGTAAGAATTATAAAAACATATTTTATCAAGCTAGTAACTATCTGGAATCATAAGTAACCATGTTTAATCATGCTTTTTTAATTCCCTGATAGCCCTAAAATTCTTTATCTTACTTGAAATGCCCCTAGCCCCAAAAACAACAGTCTGTTTCTTCTAAGTACTAAATGGCCGTGGTTTTTGAAACTATTTTTGAAGGGTATCAACCTAGCAGCAATAACAGCCTCCAGAAATAAACTTTACATTTGTTTCATGCTTAAGATTTTGGAAACATACAACATACAACACTGCTCAGTATAGTTACGTGTTCTGAAAGCATCACTTTGCAGACAAAGAAACCTGCTGCCACCTTCACCTTAATGTTGCTTGTTTCAGATTCATGGTTTCATCATGAATGGTCTTCAAACCAGTTCTGCTGTGTGGGGTCTGTCTATCAGTTCTTTCGTTTGCATGAAAAAGCATTTATAAAGGGGAATGTAAATACTACATAAAGGACTGATCTTGACGCTAATACTAACCTTGATAGTTGAAGAAGAGCAGTTGAAGCATTAGTTTTTCAGACAACATCCTAACCTCCTTGACATAGCAAATATGCACTGGCACAAGCCTTTCCCCTTTCAAATATGACTTTAGTATTTCTTATATCATAGAATCGTTAAGGTTGGAAAAGACCCTTAAGATCATCGAGTCCAACCATTAACCTATCACTGCCAAGTCCATCCCTATACCATGTCCTCGAGCACCACGTCTATCCGTCCTTTAAATACCTCCAGGGATGGAGACTCAACCCCTTCTCTGGGCAGCCTGTTCCAATGCTTGACCACCCTTTCGGTGAAGAAGTTTTTCCTCATATCCAACCTAAACTTCCCCTGGTGCGGCTTGAGGCCATTTCCTCTCGTCCTATCACTCGTTACTAGGGAAAAGAGACCGACCCCCACCTTGCTACAACCTCCTTTCAGGTAGTTGTAGAGAGCAATAAGGTCTCCCCTCAGCCCCCTCTTCTCCAGACTAAACAACCCCAGCTCCCTCAGCTGCTCCTTGTAAGACTTGCTCTCTAGACTCTTCACCAACTTCGCTGCCCTCCTCTGGCCACGCTCCAGCACCTCGATGTCCTTCTTGGGGTGAGGGGCCCAACACTGAACTCAGTACTCAAGGTGTGGCCTCACCAGTGCCCAGTACAGGGGCACCATCACCTCCCTGGTCCTGCTGGCCACACTATTCTTGATACAGGCCAGGATGCCACTGGCCCTCTTGGCCACCTGAGCACGCTGCTGGCTCATGTTCAGGCAGCTGTCAACCAGCACCCCCAGGTCCTTTTCCGCCAGGCAGCTCTCCAGCCACTCCTCCCCCAGCCTGTAGCGTTGCATGGGGTAATATATGTATCTCTCTCTCTCTCTCTCTCTATCTTATATATAGGATTTCTTGCAAAATGAAGCTGTCATCAGTTCCTACTTCCATATGAAACATGTACTAATTCCAGGTATGAGGTTAAGGACTTGTGTGTCTTAGAACTCATAAGGTGGTGCAATGCACCCTGGAAATATATGAGCCTCTAACAGAGAGCCAGGCAGCCAGCATCATGTTGTTATACCTGGCACTGTAGGTGCCAATCATCCATGGGGTCCTTCCATTCATCGATTTCCCGCTGGACAGCTGCTAATTCATCCTGCAGGAAGCACCACATTATAGCCACATTGCAGCCGTTCACCCAGTTGTGGTTAATGGAAATGGTATCCTCCTGAAGGAATAATTTAAATGGTTACTAGGATCTACATGGGAAAGTGCAAGAAAACAGATGTAACAGCACCGGTGCTGCAAAATGTAAAATCATATTCCTCAGCAAGGGAAATGCTTCTTTGGCGCCAATGCCACCACTGCGCTGAAAGGCTGTCTCTTTCTAATGTCTCTGAACAATCACATCTTGTTTCACTCTGTAAACTGGCAAATGTCTCTAGTTCCGCTGCCTGAGCATACCTTTTAAGGGCACAAAGGTGGGAGAAGGTGGTGGGGAGAAAGGAACAAGGTTGTTAATTTTGGTTTGTAATCATGAAGACGATTTGCTAGCATTTTCCATTATTAAATTACCATTTACAGTTAGAAACCAAGACTAACAGCCCCACCATAAGTCCACCTCACCTAGCATCCTATTTCTCAGTGACTAGTGGCATCTAATGAGGTAAAGAATAAGAAAAGAGAGTTCAGACAGCTTCTTCAATTGTATGCTCTTCCAGCTTCTAGTGGTCAATGACCCAGGGAGCTTATGAGTTCAGGCTTGCTTTTAGCCATCATCTTGAGCGGCCACTGATAGACCTTTCCTCCGTGAATCATAGAATGTCCTGAGTTGGAAGGGACCCACAAGGATCATTGAGTCCAACTCCTGTCCCTGCATAGGACAACCCCAAAATTCACACCATGTGGCTGAGGGCGTTGTCCAAATGCTTCTTGAATATTGTCAGGCTTGGTGCCGTGACTGCCTCCCGGGGCAGCCTGTTCCAGTGCTCCACCACCCTCTGGGTGAAGAACCTTTTCCTAAGGTCCAACCTAACCCTCCCCTGGCATAGCTTCCTGCTGTTCCCTTGGGTGCTGTCCTTGGTCGCCAGGGAGAAGAGATCAGTGCCTGCCCCTCCTCTTCCCCTCGCGAGGAAGCTATAGACTGTGGTGAGGTCGCCCCTCAGTCTCCTCTTCTCCAGGCTGAACAGACCAAGTGCCTTCAGCCGCTCCTCGTACGGCTTCCCCTCTAAACCCCTCACCATCTCCGTGGCTCTCCTCTGGACGCTCTCCAGTAGCTCTGTATCCTTTTTGTACTGTGGGGCCCAAAACCACACACAGTGCTCAAGGCCGCACCAGGGCAGAGCAGAGTGGGAATCTCTCTAAGCTTTTTTGCAGCCCCGTTAGACTTTTAGCATCCACAACATGCTGTGGCAATAAAAGTTTGATCTGATTCAAGCCTGCTGCCTGATTATCTCTCTCTGTTATGAAAAGGTTAGTATCAGTTATCTTACCAGATTGTAAACTTGATGATGCCATCCGCTGGGGATGAAGACTATCTCCCCTGCTTCCTGCACAATTTCAACAGGGGGTTGACTTTGGTTGTAGCGAGGGTAAACACTCCTGTCCTGAAGACTAGGTGCAGTCACGTCGAAGGGCAAGTTCCCATGGTGGTCTTTCAGGTACTCCTCCTGTCCCGCGGGGTACAACAGCCATTTCTTTCTCCCGCATATATTGGCTGACCAGCTATAGGAACGGAAGACATCAGCGTGGAAGGGAGTCCTGTGGGGCAAATCAGAGGTTTAAGTAAAGCCAATGCCTTAAAGCTGTAAGATAAATTAAAGTCTCTGAGAATCAGACATACACACAGAAATCAACCTTTACTATGCAAACCTGATCCCAAAATGTCATCCACTTCATTTGACTGCCTTGAGTATTAAAAGGCCACTATATCTACATAGTATTGCAGTGTTTTATAGCTTCTGTGCTTCTCCAACAGCTAGTTTTGAATCTGTCCCACAAATACCTCAATGACAGGAGATTCTGTGACATGAACTGATGAGAACGCTGTAAATGCAATTTTATCACCAATGCTGGAATTAGTTTTTCACCTGCAAAATATTTGACCAACTCGTCAGCGCCCCTCCACGGCTTCTGTTGACTCTGCAAATCCCAAATGCCTGATGATCCCCAGGGAGCTTCTGCTCCAAAACCTTATTGTTGCCAGCTGGCAACTTTTGCAGAATTTGCGTGCACAATTCAGGGCTTTCTGAAGCACAAAAGCACTTTAGTTGACTGCACCAGGACAGCTCACATCCAGAACTAAATGAGCTGCTTGAGAAACAAGACTGGCTGGGTTCAGGCACAACACTACCCTATGGCCACACAGTGCCTCTGTAACATGATGCTATCCTGATGTACAATGTGATAATTCCCCTGTAATACTAAATCTCAAAAATGAGTATGTAAGAATGACAGAAACCATGCTGCCTTACCATGAACCTTTAGGTCCCATGTAGACAAACCGGTAATCATCCACAGCTACAGCATCCCAGTATTCATTCAGCCAGTCGGATGAGAAATACACAGGGGTTGTATAAACATCTTGCTCGGGGAAAGCTCTTAAAAAGATAATGTGTTGGAAATCGGTCTCAGAAAAATGCAGCATTGCTCCTACTTCAGTTCCCAAAACCCAGATACCAAGACCAATCAGGTCTCTAGCAGGCCACTAATACTTGGCTGCCATCTCCTTTATATCACTGACAACTCGAGTTACACACAAAATGCACACAATAGTGCTTTTCTGTCTCCCAGCAAAGCTGTGAAGGTTAACTATTATTTGGGAGATTCCTTCTAATTATGGCAAAGACAGTTCCTAATAAACACCTTCTCTTTAGATGAGACGCCTGCAAGACTGGTTGTCCAACTGGATGACAGGCTGGGGGTGTGAGGGTTAGGAGGGAAGCCGGGCTGGGGGATTTTCAACAAGTGCATAGCCTCCTCCCACAGGATGTGCTGCCCCTTTCCCATCCTAGGCGGCACGTGCAGACTTTCTGTAGCAAGCCACAGCACCGGTGTCCGGGAGAGCAGACAAACAGGGAGGCAGAGACTGCCAAACCTCCTCTATTGTAAGTCACTGGCACACTCAAAAATGAAAGCAAGAGGTAATCACAAGAAAGTTGGATTAAGAGCAGGATACATTTAAGGAAGCAGAGATTTGAGAGAAAAGACATAAAAGTCCTACACAGACATAGGGATGGGACAATGCATCCACCTTGCAAGCAGCAGGCTGGAGCAGAAGGAAAGCCAGAACAGGGTGAAGAGAACTTTAACAACTGGAAAGTTTAACAGAAAAAAAAAAAACGGATAACAAAGGATTATAACTGACGCACGCTCACTGAATTAAACATAATTAGAAACGTCCCCCTTCTTTTTAAGAAGCAAGGTTTGCACTGTAGCAATCAAACGAAAGTCAGATGTTACAGCCACATGGTTTCCACAGGGATATAACATACAGTCATTTAAAAAATAGATGAAAAGGAAAGTGCCCAGGAATGTCAGGCTCTTCAGGAAACAATGACCTGTTTAAGGATCTTGTCGTGTGACGCACCTCAAGAACAGTGCAGTATAAGACTGATATTTTGGTGGGCAGGTGCTAACAACCAGCACTGCCGGCATTTAAACGCTCAGGCATTAGAAGATGAGCATTAAAGTGCCACAGCAGCTCTTTGCTGTGCGTGGCATGCAAGGGTTTCCACAGTGCTCTCTTACCTGCTCAGGTGCCAGTCCTTTAGATAAAGGCACCCTCGGGATGAACGGTAGTCATTTTTAATGTACTCTTTCCAGTACTTTATATACTCCTTGAAGGGGAGCTGCTCCTTCGGGTTAGAATTGTACTCCTTGACATCACAGTTGGCAACAGGCACTACAGCCTCTCCTGAAATATAAACTCTTTGAGCCCACATGGCGACAGAATAACTGATGCTGAAACTGAGCTCCCTCAATCTTATCCACTGCAGCAGCCTCTCATACCTGGGCCCTATCATCCCAAGTACAAACATGTAAAGCAACAATCCCTAGCCCAGCTCTCACACCCAACACCATCGTTCTAGGCAATCATGATTCAGACCAGAGGTTATTTGTTTAATGTTACCCGAATTTTCCTCTTAAACTACATTAGAAGTGTGGTATTGATTCCTATTAAATATACTAATATTTTACAGCCTGAAGAGATATTTCACTGTAACTACAGAATAGTTTCCCCTTGCCTGGGGAAAGTGTCAGGCCGCTCCTCTGGCTAAAGCTAAGCAGGTATATAAATTGGTATGGTGAAATTATACAATGCTTTTTATTTTATGTCATTACGGGAATAAATACGAGATTGGAATCTGCGAAACATAAAGTGTAAGTACAGAAAATGAATGTATTAACTTAGGAAAAAGTCTGAAGAATTGCTTGGTTTTGTCTAGTGGTTCTACTCCTAAGATTAAAAAAGAGCTGTCATTTAGCATACACGTTTTAACTAGGTATTAAAAATGCCATGACTTACCAAACTTCTGCAGCAGATGATCAAAGTTAGGCTTTCCATCCCAAGTAACCCAATTTCTCCTGCTGCCCCAGTCTTCAGTGAATTTAGCTGAGAAAATACAGGGATGGTTCGGAATCAAATAATCCCGGAAGAAGTCCGAGTACGTGAATGATTCTACTTTTTCAATAAAGTCAACGTGTCCTCCGGGGAGACAGAATGCACCCTGAGATGAACTGCTGTAGTCACGAAAAAAGGCAGTGGAACAGGCGAATGTTGCCCTGTCCATGCAGGCTGGATACCCTTCCTGGCTTAGCCAAGACAGCGGTGACCAGATGCTATCCTGTCATGCTACAGCAAAAAAAATTGCTTTAAAACGTGCCTTGAGTCTCTAAATCCACGAAAACTCACAGGACAATATAAACGGTCAGAGGTAAACCAAGAAGTCATGCAGGAGCATCCCACCACGTTGGGTTAATTAGGATCTTCCGTAGTTTATAAAGCTTAATGCTGGAGGGATATCTGACAACAAAGTCACCCTGTGGATGGTGAAGATGTTGCTTTTGCCTCCTTTCCTTCTTGCCAGGGTGACGACTATTGTAAGTCACTGGCACACTCAAAAATGAAAGCAAGAGGTAATCACAAGAAAGTTGGATTAAGAGCAGGATACATTTAAGGAAGCAGAGATTTGAGAGAAAAGACATAAAAGTCCTACACAGACATAGGGATGGGACAATGCATCCACCTTGCAAGCAGCAGGCTGGAGCAGAAGGAAAGCCAGAACAGGGTGAAGAGAACTTTAACAACTGGAAAGTTTAACAGAAAAAAAAAAAACGGATAACAAAGGATTATAACTGACGCACGCTCACTGAATTAAACATAATTAGAAACGTCCCCCTTCTTTTTAAGAAGCAAGGTTTGCACTGTAGCAATCAAACGAAAGTCAGATGTTACAGCCACATGGTTTCCACAGGGATATAACATACAGTCATTTAAAAAATAGATGAAAAGGAAAGTGCCCAGGAATGTCAGGCTCTTCAGGAAACAATGACCTGTTTAAGGATCTTGTCGTGTGACGCACCTCAAGAACAGTGCAGTATAAGACTGATATTTTGGTGGGCAGGTGCTAACAACCAGCACTGCCGGCATTTAAACGCTCAGGCATTAGAAGATGAGCATTAAAGTGCCACAGCAGCTCTTTGCTGTGCGTGGCATGCAAGGGTTTCCACAGTGCTCTCTTACCTGCTCAGGTGCCAGTCCTTTAGATAAAGGCACCCTCGGGATGAACGGTAGTCATTTTTAATGTACTCTTTCCAGTACTTTATATACTCCTTGAAGGGGAGCTGCTCCTTCGGGTTAGAATTGTACTCCTTGACATCACAGTTGGCAACAGGCACTACAGCCTCTCCTGAAATATAAACTCTTTGAGCCCACATGGCGACAGAATAACTGATGCTGAAACTGAGCTCCCTCAATCTTATCCACTGCAGCAGCCTCTCATACCTGGGCCCTATCATCCCAAGTACAAACATGTAAAGCAACAATCCCTAGCCCAGCTCTCACACCCAACACCATCGTTCTAGGCAATCATGATTCAGACCAGAGGTTATTTGTTTAATGTTACCCGAATTTTCCTCTTAAACTACATTAGAAGTGTGGTATTGATTCCTATTAAATATACTAATATTTTACAGCCTGAAGAGATATTTCACTGTAACTACAGAATAGTTTCCCCTTGCCTGGGGAAAGTGTCAGGCCGCTCCTCTGGCTAAAGCTAAGCAGGTATATAAATTGGTATGGTGAAATTATACAATGCTTTTTATTTTATGTCATTACGGGAATAAATACGAGATTGGAATCTGCGAAACATAAAGTGTAAGTACAGAAAATGAATGTATTAACTTAGGAAAAAGTCTGAAGAATTGCTTGGTTTTGTCTAGTGGTTCTACTCCTAAGATTAAAAAAGAGCTGTCATTTAGCATACACGTTTTAACTAGGTATTAAAAATGCCATGACTTACCAAACTTCTGCAGCAGATGATCAAAGTTAGGCTTTCCATCCCAAGTAACCCAATTTCTCCTGCTGCCCCAGTCTTCAGTGAATTTAGCTGAGAAAATACAGGGATGGTTCGGAATCAAATAATCCCGGAAGAAGTCCGAGTACGTGAATGATTCTACTTTTTCAATAAAGTCAACGTGTCCTCCGGGGAGACAGAATGCACCCTGAGATGAACTGCTGTAGTCACGAAAAAAGGCAGTGGAACAGGCGAATGTTGCCCTGTCCATGCAGGCTGGATACCCTTCCTGGCTTAGCCAAGACAGCGGTGACCAGATGCTATCCTGTCATGCTACAGCAAAAAAAATTGCTTTAAAACGTGCCTTGAGTCTCTAAATCCACGAAAACTCACAGGACAATATAAACGGTCAGAGGTAAACCAAGAAGTCATGCAGGAGCATCCCACCACGTTGGGTTAATTAGGATCTTCCGTAGTTTATAAAGCTTAATGCTGGAGGGATATCTGACAACAAAGTCACCCTGTGGATGGTGAAGATGTTGCTTTTGCCTCGTTTCCTTCTTGCCAGGGTGACGACGCTAAAAATCTCTGGGGATGACCAGCAAAGGCTGGTTCCTTCCTGAAACAGCAGAAACATTAATTTCAGCGGGATATCCTTGCTAAATGAACTAATTGCCGGGGTGGAGGGAAGGAAACCCCCTAAATATTTGGGACCCTGGAAAATCGCTCCAGCCCAGTGACTGTACTGAGTCTCATCCCTTTGTCAGGAGAAGATACAAGCTCTGGCACCCCCCGCCCTCCCCAGACCTTTCTCTACGGGCCAGGCAGCAATTATAGGTTAAAAAAAAATTATATAATAGTGAATAAAAGGGAGGTGTTTGGGGGAGGCAAGGGGGAAACTGAGCACAGAGGGGAAGGGAGGAGGCCCGAGGGTACCTGAGGCCACTACCCTGCAGGGATAGGCTTCAGGAGAGGTGAGACACCGGGGGTGAAGGGGAGACCAGGGTGCTCATGGGGGGAAAGGGGCCGCCATGAGGCGGTTCCCCCCTCAGGGAGCTCCAGGGGGGGACCCGGACCCCACAAGGCGACGCACACGCCGTCCCCGCGTTGGGCTCTCGGTCCACCCGCGCGTCTGCGGGAGCGGAGAGAACAGCAGGAAACAG